CTCTCTGCCCCTCTCTCTCCTCCCTCTGTTCCCTGGGTTTCATCTGTCTGCATCTCAGTGTGTGTGTTTCTCCTACTTCCTGTTTCAGTTTGTCACTCTCTTATCATGTGTGTTCAATGTTCAGCTGTGCTTTACCTGTCTCATTAGTGGATTGTGTTCAGTCGTGTTCCCCATGTGTCTTCTCTCTGTCCCGAATCCCTCCATCCCCCCGTCGGTGATCTCCCTCATTCTTCAGCTGTGTGTTCTGCCTGCTTGTCTAGTTTCCAGTAACTCCCAGTTCAGTTTTGTACATTCTATAGTTAATCAATAACGTTGTTTTTTGAGTTTAGTTTTGCCTCCAATCATGCCCGCTTCACACAGCACATGCCATATTTCCCTACAGGCAGCGCAGAGGAGAGAGCCATCTTCAAACGTGCAGTCAGAATGAACTCAAAAGAAGGTCAAGGTGACATAGAAGAGGCACCCCAGTATGTTGAGATGAAAATCAAAGAGGTAAAACTCAAAATACAAGACTGGGAAAACTTTGTATCATTACAACATGATATAAATACAAGAATGTGTGTTTGGTCAAAATTCATAATGCACGACAAGTAAAAAAAAAAAAAACAGTTGAAACAGTGTGAAATGGGATGGGGCCTTTAAGGAAATTATCTGAGAATTATCTAAGAATAGCAACTAGAAGCCTGGAAACCTGCAGACTCATCACCATCCTGAATGAGGCCAATGACGGTGGTGTCATCTGCAAATTTTAGCAGTTTAACAGCCGAGTTCTTGGAGGCGCAGTCATTGGTGTACAGCAGGAGCAACAGTGGTGAGAGGACCGAGTTTCAGAGGTGATCTCCCCCAGCCTCACTTGCTGCTTCCTGTCTGTCAGGAAGCTGGTGACATGCTGAGCTGGGAGAGTTTGGAGGAGAGAAATTCAAGCACAAAAGTAAACAAACAGGACCCTGGCATAAGTTCCTGGGCAGTCGAGATGTTGCAGGATGTTTGAGGCAAGGAGGGTGAAACTCCATCTGGTACAGGGGCTTTCATGGACTTGTCTTTCTGAAACAGTTGGCTCACATCCTGAGTGTGTATTCTGAGTTCCAGGGAGGAGGAAAGACGGGTGAGAGGTGTGATGGTGGTCGTTGAGTCTGGATTGGGGATGGTGAGGGGGGAGGGGTGAGAGGTGTGTTGGGGGTCAATGTCTGAAACAACGTCTCTGGGGAGGGGTGGGTGAGGGTTGAGAGTCTGTCCGTCTCAAACCTGCAGTACAATGTATAGAGATTGAAAGAATTTCACATTTTACAGACAGACTTTCGCGCATTGCAGGTACCAGTGGCAACAAAATCAAAACACTGCATTAAGAGCTAGTATTTCCAGCACTGGTAATCATTAATTCTG